AAATAGAAACTATTCTGAACAGAACAGAATGGCTGAATACAGGGAGCCAGTTACACAGGTGATGAAAGAAGTTGAGACAATAACCCTGAGGCAACCCAGAGAGTATCAACAGCAGTAGTCACCATTCCAGCCAATGGAAGGGTAACAGTGGCGTTTATTTATTTTTATTTATTTATCTTTCTTGAGATGGAGTTTTGCTCTTATTGCCCAGGCTGGAGTGCAGTGGCACGATCTCGGCTCACCGCAACCTCCACCTCCCAGGTTCAAATGATTCTCCTGCCTCAGCCTCCCAAGTAGCTGGGATTACAGGCATGCGCCACCACGCCCAGCTAATCTTTGCATTTTTAGTAGAGACAGGGTTTCTCCATGTTGGTCAGGCTGGCTTCAAACTCCCGACCTCAGGTGATCCGCCCACCTCAGCCTCCCAAAGTGCTGGGATTAGAGGCATGAGCCACCACACCTGGGCAACAGTGGTGTTTATTAGAGCTACCACGCTGGGCAACAGTGGTGTTTATTAGAGTCTACGGGCCTGGGTTAACCTGGCTGAAGCTAGGACCACAAAAAGCCTTTGTATCAGAGGCTGGAGCCATGGAAGGGAAACTGCAAGAGGCAGAGAACAGGGAAAGAAAAGCCCCGGCTTCTCCCTTGCCCTGACTCCTGAAAGTGCCTCCTGCTAAGGTATAGATGTAAATGATTGCCAGCCATTATTCTAGAGGTCACAAGACATTGCAACTTCCCCAATTACTCCTGCAGATAACATCACTATTGTAGAACCTCAGTTTGGCTTTTTGAAATGTCTTTTCAGGGTCACTCCTGTGGCCCCACCCAGCAGTGAGTAAGCTCATTGGAAGACCATTTCCCACACCCCTATGATTGCAACCCCAGCCAATCAGTAGCAAGCACCCATGGCCTAGCCATCCGTACCCCATCCCACAAACTACCTTTGAAAACCTCTGGCCCCCAAATGCTCGAGGAGATTGATTTGTGTAATAACTCTGTCTCCCTGTGGCCTCAGTCAAACTCTTTTTTTACTGCAATGCCGTGGTCTCAGTGAATTGATATTGTCTATACAGCAGGCAGGAAGAACCCATCAGGTGGTTACACTACATGACCCCAGTTGTCCTCTCCACTGACACTGCCTTCTGCTTGTGCTTCAGCCTAGAGCCTGTGTGTTGTACCTGTGCCTTCTGCCTGTACCCACACAGACTATCATGTGCTGGTCCCTTCTTGTCATTCAGGTCTCAACTCAAAAGTAACTGCCATCAAGAGGCCTCTCTTGACATCCCCCAGATATATTAGCATCCTACCACCCTGGCCCATGCCTTCTATCTTTTTATAAGGACGAGTCATATTGGATTGAGAGATCACCTTACTCCAATATGACCTCCTCCTAATTACATCTGCAATGACCCTATTTCCATCTAAGGTCACATTCTGAGATACTGAGGTCTAGGTCTTCAACATATTTTGGGGGGACACAAGTCAATTATAACAGGAATCTTTAGGGTATAGATGATAATTCAAGCCATGAGGCTAGAGGTGACCACTTCACTAGCCCCTACGGAGTTCACAGAAAGGAGATGGAAAACTAGCTTTGGGGCATGGTGGCTCTCGCCTATAACTCCCCCAGCACTTTGGGAGGCTGAGGCAGACAGATCACTTGAGGTCAGGAGTCCGAGACCAGCCTGGCCAACATGATGAAACCCTGTCTGTACTAAAAATACAAAAATTAGCCAGGTGTGGTGGCAGGTACCTGTAATCCCAGCTATTTGGAAGGCTGAGGCAGGAGAATCACTTGAGCCCAGGAGGCAGAGGTTGCAGTGAGCCAAGATCGCCGCACTGCACTCCACCCTGGGTGATAGAGTGAGACTCCATCTAAAAAAAATCAAAACAACAACAATAACAAACTTAGCTTTGGGAAAGGCCACCCTATAGAGTTGAGATGAGGAGAAGCCAGCAGAGAGGCTGAGAAGGAGCAGTAACTGTAACTGTAATAGGCCTGTTGCCTGATGTGTGCAGCAAATCAATATGCCAAGACAGGGGGTTGCAGTAGAAATAGAGGCTTACTAATAGGGCCTCCAATCAAGGAGATGGAGGGAAACCTCAAATCCTCTCTCAAGGAGTTTGGGGCTTTTCTAAGGGTTTTTAAGGAGTAGGCTGAAGTATGGAGACTGCTGATTGGTCAAAGAGAGCAGGACGAAATCATGGGACAGAGAAAGAAGCAGCTGTATTCTCATGCTGATTCCATTCCTCTGTTGGTGTCTTCAAACTGGTTGGTGTCAGCTGTTTCACTGGAATTTGTGATCTGAAAAACATCTTAAGCAATTTTTTTTTTTTTTTTGAGACAGAATTTTGCTCTCGTCGCCCAGGCTGGAGTGCAATGGCATGATCTTGGCTCACTGCAACCTCCGCCTCCCAGGTTCAAGCGATTCTCCTGCCTCAGCCTACTGAGTAGGGAGGCTAGGGAGGCTGGGATTATAGGTGCCCGCCACCATGCCTGGCTAATTTTTGTATTTTTCGTAGAGATGAAGTTTCACCATGTTGGCCAGGTTGGTCTTGAACTCCTGACCTCAGGCAATCTGCTCGCCTCGGCCTCCCAAAGTGTTGGGATTACAGGCATAAGCCACTGCGTCCAGCCTTAAACAATTCTTAAACAAAAGCCTTATGATTCTAATGTCAGAAATCCTACCTATAGGAGCAGTGGAGATGCAAATGGTCAGTATCTAGTGCCACATGACTTTTGGTTACAAGGAAGTGGGTCAAAATACAGCCTGATTAATGCTTAATTATAACTCTATTTCTCTGCAGAATTCATGTTAACCCTGTGAGGAGGGCTTCAAAGTGAGGTAGGAGCAGGCTGGGAGTGTGTGGTGTCCTGGAAGCCAGGGAGGAACATGTATCAAGGAGGAGGGAGGATTAACCAAGTCCACTGTGGCTGATAAATCAAGAAAGAGGAGAATGGGAAAATGGCCATCTGATGTGACAACACTGAAGTCACTTGTGACCTTGACAAGCACTGTTCCAGTAGAGTGGAGGGGAGTAAAGCCTGACTGGTGTGTGCTCATGAAGGAATGGGAGAGAGGACCTGGGGCAAGCAATGACAGAACACTATTTACATTTTTATGGTCTGTCTCTTCACACTTGTGTGAAAGAGCCACAAAAGCCAGGACCCAAGGGTATCTTATCCATTTCTGTATCCCAGTGCCCAGCACGTTGTATTTGTTAAGCCATGTTTTATAGTTTATTAACCAGTATCTCCTTCAAATGTGGGAGCCCATAATCTTCCAGTTTGGTCACACCAACAAAGACTAGAGAGGAATGATAGGGTTGGAATAGAATTCTCTGGTTCCTTCCAGCTCTAATATTCTATGATTGTGTGAACTTGTTCTATCAAGTACCATTGTAATTAATAGAGTAAGGAATTTAATTAGTGGTCTGCTGTTGTTAATTTGTTTGGTAAGCAACTGTTAAATGAAATGACTGGAATCAGTGTTCCATTCATAAATTCAACAAACATTTGTCGAGTGCCTACAATGTGTTAGGCACTATATATATTGTCCCATATAACAGATGTAAGAGCAGAAGGCCTGGGATGGGGTGAGTGGTCAGGAGAGGTGATGGGGACCTCCCACTGCTAATTCTGCAGGAGGTCCAGGGTTCTTTGATGTGGCTGGTGCTAGTCTGCTTATCACTGAGGAGAGAAGAGGCTCCCAGTGGCCTGAGTGGAGGGGTTACCAAGCTGCAGCTGCAAGGGACACAGAGCAGCATTCACCAAGGCACAACAAGCAGCCTCTATCTGCTTCACGACTGAGGAGCTGAGGGCCCCCACACAACAGCTGTTTCAGGCAGTGGGAGGAGAGGAAGATGTGGTCTTCAGGTCCACCCTGCCACAGGACCAACACCAGATTTTACGCCACATCTAGGGCTTGAGGCTTCTTCTGTGACTGAACAGCATGTTTGGGCTTTCTCTGCACGATCCTTTCTTTCTGCTTTCATAGGCCTTGTCAGGCAGGGCAGGGTTTAGCAGTTGCATTCTAAGGCGAGGAGAGGAGGGCTCAGAGCATTGCATGACCTAAGAGGGTCAGAGCCAGGACAAGAACCTAGGGGTACTCCTGGCCCTGGAATAACGGAGAGAACATGGGCTCCGCAGTCTACCCCTGGATGAAATACTCTTCATTTGATTACCGCTCCACCAGCATCCTTTCTGAAACAAAGTACCTCGGTTTCCTCATTTGTAAAATAGGGAGAAAAATGTCCTCCTTACAGGGTTCCTTGCAGAATCAAGGGCATAATGTGAGTGAGAGCGCTTTGTAACTAACATGCAAAGTGCTCTCCAGACATTTGTTACGGTTTTAAACCGCCAGGCAAAGCTTCCTCTTGCAGTTACAGATTAGGGGCTCCTACTCATCTGACTTTGTTCCACTTTCCACTCCTCTTCTCCGTCCCTCCCCTTCCAACAAAGAGAGGAAGTGAGAGACGCAGAGGCACGCGTCTAAGGACTAGTTTAGCTGGCCCAGGGTCACATGCAAGATTTGCCGCCCCACGGGGTGAGAGCCGGTGAGGGGCGCCCCCGTCCAGAACTACATTTCCCATCAACCCTTTCGCGGCTCCCGGGCGGCAGCGACCAGGCGCATGCGCCGAGTACCGCCACGCCTGGTCTCCAGGACACCCCTCCGGACCGGTTTCGCCTAGCTGTGCCGGTAGGTCCCGGTGCAGCGGCCGCAGTGCTGCCTCCCGGCGCCGCGGGCTGTGGCGGTCTCAGGTGTGCCGAAGCTCTGGTCTGTGCCATGATCCGGCAGGAGCGCTCCACATCCTACCAGGAGGTACGAGGTTATGAGAGACGGAAGGGAAGTTTGAGGCGGAGGAGCAGGGTCCCGGGGGTCTGGGCGGATGCGGGCCGGGGTTGTCTGGGCTGCGCGGCAGAGGGCTCTTCCGAGGGACGGGCGGGTGCGTCGAGGGAGGGCTCCGGGGGTGCAGAGGAGCGGCCCAGGGGCAGGAAGGAAGCGGGGCGGCGAAGCGGGCGCCCAGCCTCCTCCATATGCTGCGGGTCTCATGGCCGAAGTCTAGAGTAGGGTCCCCGGCGCCGCGACCCGTAACCAGCAGGTGAATGATTGAAGCTACCTGAGGCCCAGCCTTCCGCGCTCCGGGGCGGAGCGGCAGCCCAGTGGCCCCGAGAAACCCGGCGTTCTTTGCAACAAGTGGAGCGCCCGCGCCCTCCTCCCAGCGAGAGCTGATGCGCGGTCGGCGTCGTCGGCATCCTCCTCCTCCAAACCTAAGGCCTCGCGGTCCCCGCGGCTGGTGACAGGATTGATTACCTGTTTTTTGGTGACCGCCTAACTTTGAAAAAGTGCCTTCATGGACTTTGCTGGTTCTCGCTCTTCTTCGTCTCTCCCTCCAGCCTCACCTCCTCCCACCACTTTATCACTTTCCAGTTCTTTGTCTCTACCCTGTCCTGCGCTGCAGGCTGTGCGTCCAGCGCTTCCTCCAGGCAAGCCCTGCCTCCTGACTTCTCCAGCTATGTTAGCGAAACTGCCCTCCTCCTCCTCCTCCTCCACTTCTCGGGCCCCAAACCTTGGTCATCTTTGGCACCCGTCCTCTTCTGTGCCCCTCCGCCGTGCCTCCTCAGTGGCCAAGGTCAGGCAGTTCCAGATCGGTCCTCCTCCAGTTTGTGTCCTTGTGTTTGCTGTAACCTCTGAGTGTGATACTGTGTTACCATCGCTCCCTTCAGTCTCTTATACTCTCCAGATTTACCTTGAGGCCCTGCCTTGACCTCGGAGCATTCCTTTTTTCTCAGACCTGACGCTGCCCTTGGTCTGCCCAGAAGAGTCCAGACTTCTCAGCAAGCTCCCAAAGCTCTGTACAGCACAGCAGCCATGTCTCCCATTACCTTTGCCACCTCCTTACCCACCTAGGGTCTGGCCACAGTGGAAACTCAGTTTTAAAATGTGCTTCTGCCTCTGTGCATGCACTCACTCCATTTCTTCGTCAACCCTCCGCCAAGCTCCATTCGGTAAAATGCCCCCAGAAGTCAAGGGCTACCGCAAGTTCCATGTGCTTCATAGGGGTCCGCTTTCCAGACCCATCTGGCATTTCTGTCTGTCCTTCTCATACGAACCTGCTGCCTTCAGTCTTAGTCAATAGTTACTGCTGTACATATCTCCCTTTGTAAAAGACTGTGATTCACAGAAGGGCTCTGTGGACTATATAAAGCAGGTGACTTAGCCCTACAGTGGAGGGAGAAGCCAAGTTGAAGGTAGATAAGATCTACCTAAGGCTTGCCATTTTTTAATGTAGGATCTTGGCTGGAACCTGACCTTGGACAAATTTCTATATTTCTCCTCCCATCCCCTTTATTCCATCTGTTTTCTTTGTCTGAAAGGAGTCTGAGGGATTTTAGCCAGTGCTGTGGATTCCATGGCCCCTAGATTCTGTACCCTGAACAGCGGGGGAATCCTGGGGAAAGAGATGTGTCTAAAAGTTTTTAGGTTTATAGGGTGTGGAGCACAGTGGATAAATTAGGGATTTCAAGTCAGAAAGCCCATGTTGGTGTCCTGGCTGTCCCTCTTGCCATTTGTGTGACTTTTATTGAGTCACATAATTTTCTGAGCCTCAGTTTCTTTTTCTGAAAGATGAAGATAATAAAAGTCCCTACCTCCCAGGGTTGTTTGGGGATTAGATAAGTTGGTGTGGAAAGTGCTTGGCTCAGTGTCTGGCAGATAGTGACCCCACAGTGAATGATAGCTCTTGTTAACAGGGTGTGGGCAGCTCCCGCGTCTAGGGTGCTTTGGGGGTCCTGGCTTAGCAGGAACATGTGCCTCACTGTCCACACATAGCCGGCCTAGCAGGGCTTATAAAATGTTTATTAAAATATAGTCACTTATCCCGCTTGCAGGGCCAAGGCCCAGGGTAGACACAGTTTCTCTTTGGAGTCATTTTCAAGGTGGAAGGCACTGGAAGGGTGCCCTCCCCTTGCCTTCTTCAGAGGCCTGTTCTGTGGTGCCTGTCTCTCCCTTCTTCAGAGAAAGGGGCCACCCAGAGAATGGCCGGCATCTTTCTTGCCTGAACCGTTCTGTGAGTGTACCTAGCTCTGAGTAGGTTTATTTGCTGAGAGGGGATTTTTCCCTGGGGAGGGTGGGATATACTGAGAATTTGGCCAGGGGCAGACAAGGATGCAGGCTCATTATGGCTACGGGTAGTCAAGAAGGGAACTCAGTGGGAGTGTGTTAGCACCTGGGTCAGGGTCGACCTGGGTGAGGCTTGGATCAGGGAACTTTGAGACTTCCCAGGACTAACATCCTCCTCTCCCTTTGGCCAGTGAGACCTCTGGGACCCCTTTATCTGTGCTTCCACTGGTGGCTTATATCTCTTGGTGTCTTCACCAGCTTCCCTGCCCTTTCCCACTGGTTGCTTTTCTTTTCTTTCTTTTTTTTGAGATGGGGTTTCACTCTTGTCACCCAGGCCGGAGTGCAATGGCGTAATCTTGGCTCGCTGCAACCTCCGCCTCCTGGGTTCAAGAGATTCTCCTGCTTCAGCCTCCCAAGTAGCTGGGACTACAGGTGTGTGCTATCATGCCCAGCTAATTTATATATTTTTAGTAGAGATGGGGTTTCACCATGTTGACCAGGCTGGTCTCAAACTCCTGACCTAGGCGATCCGCCCACTTCGGCCTCCCAAAGTGCTGGAATTACAGGCATGAGCCACCGTGTCAGGCCCTGCACCTGGCCTTTTCTTTTGTGCTTGGAGTGCTTTAAATTGGAGATTTTGCCTGATTCTAAGGGGCAGGAATGGAGTCGTGGAGAGGGAGATAGAAGAATAGATGCATAAGAGCTGTTTTTCACTTGTCTCTTGGAGGTGAGTTTTTAATGAAAATGTCTTGAAACCTTAAACACTAATGCTGTGAACCTGAGAAAATGCTTGGGAAAACTGTCCCCTCTTCCTCCCAATTCAGGGATGGCTTCTCTTCTAAGCTCTGGTCTTGACCTCTCTTGCCCTCCTCCTTAATCCTACAGAGACTTGTTGATTATCATGGTATCCTTTCCATCCTTCTACCCTTCTTAGTGGCATAATGTCCCCATTTGACAGGTGAGACCACTGATGAAGTGAGGTTGAGATTGCTGGCTACCAGGCTGCTGATTGTAATTAGCACCTGTCCCTGTGATGGACTGCCTGCCTGTCCTTCCTGCTGTGTGTTGCCATTTGCAGCCCAAGTCGGTGGACTTCAGCCAGAGTGCCACAGAGAGCTCTGACACCACCTTCACTGTTCCCTCTTTTCTCTCAGCAGACTCTAAGCTGCATTTCCTCTTCCTTTGGGAAGTGGTTAAGACCGTGGGCTTTGGAACTAGACCAACTTGGATTTGACTCCTGGCTATATCTTTCCCTTTATGGCCATGAGAAGTATTGTGAGTTGAATTGTGCTTCCTTAAAAAAGATATGTTGAAGTCCTGACCCCAGGTACCTCAGCTTGTGACCTTGTTTGGAAATGAGGTCATTGCAGGTGTAATTAGTGAAGATGAGGTCATACAGGAGTAGGGTGGGCCCCTAATCCAACATGACTGGTGTCCTTAAAGATGATGACCATGTGAAGACACAGAGAGAGCACACCTTGTAAAGATGGCAACGGAGAGTGGAGATTGGATGCCTCTACATGGCAACAAACTCCAAGGATTGCTGATTGTCACCAGAAGCCAGGAGAGAGGCATGGAACAGATTCCCGCACCACTCGCAGAAGGAGCCAACCCTGCCGACACCTTGATTCCAGACTTCTAGCCTCCAGAACTGTGAGAGAAGACATTTCTGCTGTTTTCAGCTGTTTGGTTTGTGGTACTTGGCTACGGTAGTCCTAGGAACATAGAGGGCAGAAAGTTTCTTGAGCTTTCTGAGCTTCAGTGTCCTCATCTGTAAAATTGCTGTAACGCATTCTACATCATGTGGTTTTTGGTGACGATAAGTGAGAAGCAACTTCTGCTTTCTTATTCTAGTCTAGAAAAGCAAGGCTGACATAGCTGACCCGTCTTTGCTCTCTTTGCTTCTCCCTTTAGCTGAGTGAGGAGTTGGACCAGGTGGTTGAGAACTCAGAGCTGGCAGACGAGCGGGACAAGGAGACGGTCAAAGTCCAAGGTCCGGGTGTCTTATCAGGTGAGTGGGTTTGGTGCTTTGCTGTGCTGTTGCTGCAGCCAGATGCCCCAGTCCAGGCACCTTGCCAACTGTGGGAGAGGAGGACCCCCCTTCCCTGCACCCTGGTGTCAGGTCTCAAGTATTGCCCTAGTTTTAAAGCCATACATATTTAACCAGCCTTGGAACAGAGGATATGTCTAGGCTGGTATCCGCTCTTAACTCCAATTTGAGCCACTTCCTGAGGCCAGGTCATTGCATACAATGGCAAATGCTTTGGATCGCTGCTCTTCTGTTCCTCTTTCCCTGGAAGCTGCTAGCAGGTGAGCCTCTAATATCCAGGTCAAAGAAGATCTAATAGGCACCCCCTTTCAAATACAAGGCCTATCCAGTAATGCTGCTCAGTTGGGTAAGCAGGGTCCCATCAGTCAGTTGGCATCTTATGGAGCCCTATGGCAATGTTTGACACTGCTGACTACTTCTTCCTCCCGGATACATGCGACTGCCTTAGCTTCTGTGATGCAACACTTCTCAGGCCACTCCTTCCAGGCTCCATTGCGGTCACTCTCCAGCTCTTGGGCATGAAATGTTGGTTGCAGGCCCCTTTCTCTCACCCTCATAGGCAGTTCCACCCAGGCCTGCTCCCCTGCTTCAGCTACTGCTTGCTCACACATGACTCCCATATTTACATCTCCAGCCCAGAGATTACCTACAAACTCCAAATTTATATATCTTGTATTTCCAACTGCCCATGTGATAGTTCTGCTTGGATCTCTCAAAGCTTCCCTCAACTCCACATGTCCAAAATTGACTTCATGATCTTCTCAGTCCCAGCTTGGTCCTCTTCCAGTATTTCCTGTTTGCAGGAATGGTACTACCACTTACGCAGCTGAACTTCAGAGCAGCTCTCCATTCCTTCCTTCCCCTCATCCCCTTTTTCTCTGGCCCTCAGTCATGCTGATCTTTTTTTATTTTAGGCCTCATTCCCTCTCACCATAGGGCCTTTTTGTTGTTTTATTTCTCTGCCTGGAATTCACTTTCCTTCATCACGTAGTTAATGCCTAATCATTCTTCAGCTTTCAGCTCACTCATTTTTTTCTACAGAGCCTTCTCTAACCTTCTGGCCAGATTACCTCCCACCCTCCAGCACTGTCTCATAGTCCACACGCCTCTCCTTTCCAGCTATTGCTGTTGGAATGGTGTGTTTGTTTGTCTGACTAATGTCTGTCTGTTCTACTACAGCAGTCCCCGACTGTTTGGCACCAGGGACCGGTTTTGTGGAAGACAATTTTTCCACAGATGGAAGTTGGGGGATGGTTTCAGGATGAAACTGTTCCTCAGATTATCAGCCATAGTTAGATTTTCATAAGGAGGGTACAACCTAGATCCCTTGTATGTGCAGTTCACAATAGGGTTTGCACTCCTGTGAGAATCTAATGCTGCAGCTGATCTGACAGGAGGTGGAGCTCAGGCAGTAATCCTCACTCACTGCTCACCTCCTACGGTATTGGCCCAGTTCCTAACAGGCCATAGACCCATATTGGTCTGTGGCCTGGGATTTCACTAGAATGAAACTCCCTGAGGGCAGAGACCAGTCTGTTTTGCTCACCACCCTAGCCTTGACACACCATAAAGATTTGTTGAGTGAATGAATGAAGCCCCAGCCTGACTTCAGCTTCTTGGGTGGATCCCATCTGTTTGTGGGAGAGGGGAACAAGACAGGAACTAATGTGATTCTGCCTGCTCCTTAGAGAAGACTGCATGGAAGGGACTGGGCATGGTGGCTCATGCCTGTAATCCCAGCACTTTGGGAGGCTGAGGCAGGTGGATCACCTGAGGTCAGGAGTTCGAGACCAGCTTGACCAACATGGTGAAACCCTGTTTCTACTAAAAAATACAAAAATTAGCCAGGTGTGGTGGCACGTGTCTGTAATCTCAGCTACTCGGAAGGCTGAGGCAGGAGAATCGCTTGAACCCAGGAGGCAGAGGTTGCAGTGAGACAAGATCATGCCACTGCACTCTAGCCTGGGTGACAAGAGTGAGACTCTGCCCAAAAAAAAAAAAAAACAACAACAAAAAACTGCCTGGAAGGAAGGAAGCTGGAAGGGCAGCTAACACTTCCTGACTGCTTCCCCTGTGCCAGGATCTGTCCTACCCCATTGCCCCATTTAATTCTCACATCAACCCTGTGAGGTGGTTATCCTCCTTTTACAGATGAGGCCCCCAACCTTAGGGAGGTTGAGTAAAGCATGGGGAGGTCATATAGCTGGTAAACACAGACTGAATCAAACTCTGCCCGACCCAGTGGTGTTTTCTTTTTTTTTGAAACGGAGTCTCACTCTGTCACCTAGGCTGGAGTGCAGTGGCACAATCTCGGCACACTGCGACCTCTGCTTCCCAGGTTCAAGTGATTCTCCTGCCTCAGCCTCCCGAGTAGCTGGGACTGCAGGCGCATGCCATCACACCCGGCTACTTTTTTATTTTTAGTAGAGATGGGGTTTCACCATGTTGGCCAGGCTGGTCTCGAACTCCTTATCTCAGGTGATCTGCCCATCTCGGCCTCCCAAAGTGCTGGGATTACAGGTGTGAGCCACTGCACCTAGCCTACATCAGTGGCTTATAAAAACTATTTTAAGTGGTGGTAATCCCAAAACTTTGGGAGGCCAAGATGGGAGGATCTCTTGAGGCCAGGAGTTTGAGACCAGCCTTAGCAACAAAATGAGATCCTGCCTCCACCAAACAGACAAAAACCAAAAGCACTCAAACAAAACAATATTTTAAGCATTCTTTTATTAAAACCCAATATGTAAAAGATAGTGGTGTGGCTAACCCTGCCTCTGACATGAGGCATTTCCTCTAAAGCCCTAAGGCTCCCGGGAGAACAACTTGAAAGACCTGTATATTAGTTTTCCATTGTTTCTATAACAAATTACCACAAACTTAGTGACTTAAAGAAGCACAAATTTATTATCTTACAGTTCTGGAGGTCAGGAGTCCAAAATGGATCTCACTGGGCTAAAATTAAGCTGTCTTGGCAGGCCTGAATTCCATTCCAGGGGCTTGAGGAGAGAACCTGGTCTTTGCTTTTTCTAGCTTCTGGAGGCCTCCTGCATTCCTTGGCTTGTGGCCCCTTCCTGCAGCTTCAAAACCAGCAGTGGCTGGTCGAATCTTTCTCACATCACTTCACTTTGACGCTGACTTTCCTGCCTCCTTTTCCCATGTTTAAAGGGCCTTTGTGAACACATCGGACCCACCCAGGTAACCCAGGATAATCTACCTGCTTTAAAGTCAGCTGATTAACAACCTTAGTCCCATTTGCTGCCTTAATTCCCCTTTTCCATGCAACTTGACATATTTACAGGTTCTAAGGATTAACACTTGGACATCTTTGGGAGCCTATATTCTGCCTACCACACCATGCACTACCCTGTTGCCCCCAACCAGAAGTGCATAGATGGAGGTAGGAGGAAGAAGAGGACGGGGGCCAGACTTGGAAAGATGAGGCTCGCCTTTGTGTTTCCTTTCATAGAGAAGTGCCCAGGTAAATCAGGAGGTGGCCCTAATGACCTTGGACCTTAGCAGCCTCTCTTTTGCCTCAGATTCCTGAGGCTGCAAAGCCGGGGGTCAATCAGAATAGGAAGCCAGGCCTCAGGCAGAGCAAATTTTGGGAATCATTTTCATGATTATTAAGTGAGTCTGTTATGTTGACCTGTGACTAGCGATCTTGGATATTACAACTGTAAATGTTTGGGAAGTTCAACTGGCAAGAGCATTCCCACTTGCTTTGGGGGAACCAGATGGGCTAGGCTCATCTCCTTTCTAAATCACGGAAGATCCAGATCTCAGGAGTCTATTTGGCTGGGTCAGTAGTGAGTTGGCTCAAATTTGATGGACTGATACAAAACTCTCAGAGCTCATTTCTTGCCTCAGAGTCTTTTTTTTTTTTTTTTGAGACAGTCTCACTGTGTCAACCAGGCTACAATGCAGTGGCATGATCTTGGCTCACTGCACCCACCACCTCCTGAGTTCAAGCATTCCTTATGCCTCAGCGTCTTGAGTAGCTGGGTTATAGGCACTTGCAATCATTCCTGGCTAATTTTTGTATTTTTAGTAGAAACGGGGTTTTGCCATGTTGGCCAGGCTGGTCTCAAACTCCTGACCTCAAGTGATCCGCCCTCTTCAGCTTCCCAAAGTGCTGGGATTACAGGCGTGAGCCACCATGCTCGGCCCCTTTGAGTCTTATAATAATAATAATAATAATAATGGTAACGATAGTAGTTGCCATTTTGAGAGTGCTTTCATGTACTAGGCCTGTGTAGGGCTTTTTTTTTTGAGATGGTACCTTGCTTTGTGGGCTGGGCTACCGTGCAGTGGTGTGATCATGGCTCATTTCAGCCTCCCAAGTAGTTGGGACTGTAGGTGTGTGCCACCATACCTGGCTAATTTTTAAATTTTTTTTTAGAGACAGGGTCATTCAGTGTTGCCCAGGCTGGTCTCAAACTCCTGGGCTCAAGTGATCCTCCTACCTTGACCTTGCAAAGTGCTGAAATCACAGGTGTGAGCCACCGCTTCGAGCCTGTAGGACTTTTTATATACACTTTATCCTGTAATCTTCACGGCCACTCTGTGAGGTGAATGGTTAGTCCTAGTTTATAGATGAGGAACCCAAGGCACAGACGTTAAGGAACATGCTGAGAGCTCATAAGTGGCAGGGCTCAAATCTGCACTCAGGGCTACCTCCGAAGGTGTCTTGACTCTGGCTCAGTTGTTCCTAGTTGAGAGCTTTCCTGCTCCAAATTCTCCCCTCCCTGTAGCAGATCACTTCAGGACTGCGTCACTTGTTATGCCAAGTGCTAACACCACAAAGAGGGTGAGTAAGTTCCTCCAGGAGCTCAGACACATAGAGACAGAAGGCCAGTTACCAAAGGAAGAACTTTTCCCTCCTTCTGAGCCTTCCTTGACTTCCCTGATGAGGTCCCTTTCTCCCTGTGATATGCTTTCCTTTGTAACAGTTAACACAGTTG